ACATATTATCAGATTTATGGAAAGATCTATTTGAAAAAATTAAAAATAATTTTAACTCAGAAGAACGGGATTGCAAAAAAGACAGAAAACAGTATATTTTACTACTAAATATTTTTATTGATAATCTTTGTATAATCTTCCTATAATGTAATATTTCTATAGATGCTTTTGTATCTAGTGTCTCTTCAGGTGAGCAACATTTTGTGTAATATAAAGGCTTAGACCTATATAGACAGCAAGTAGTTAATGATGTAATAAAATAATAGGACCCGTAGCCAGGCACTGTGGGAGAATATGGTAGTCACAGGTGGGGTCATTGCTCACTGAGTGGGCTGACCAAAGGTGATGCCATCCCTTGGGTAACTACAAAGGCATGTGAAGTCCCCTCCCCAGAATACCAGGCAAATATTTATTTTCAGCTTAACTAAGCTGCTAAGATTCCCACAGCTCAGTAGAGATGGAACTGCTCACAGGTAGTCATTCTACCATCACTGCAGTCAGTTTTCAGTATGCCCTGAAAGTTCTATTCTTGCACTAGGACTTGAAGAGCTAAAACACAATACTTAGGTAGTTGTTTTTAAGTTCAGTAGCCTTGGGTACTCAATTATTTACTTCAACAAAAATTACTGAGTGACCACTTTGTGCAAGGCACTTGGGGAAATACAAAGATTAACAAGTCACAGTCCTTTTCTCAGGGAGCCTACAAACCATTGAGCAAGAGGGAGTTGTTCCTGCTACTGAATGACTCCTGGGTAAACAATGGAATTAAGGCAGAAAACACAAAGTTCTTTGAAACTAATGAGAACAAAGAGACAATGTACCAGAATTTCTGGGATACAAGGAAAGCGTGTTAAGAGGAAAATTTATAGCAATAAATGCCCACATCAAAAAGCTAGAAAGGTCTCAAGTTAACAGCCTAACATCACAGCTAAAAGAACTAGAGAACCAAGAGAAAACAAACCCCAAAGCTGTAGAAGACAAGAAATAACCAAGATGAGAGCTGAACTGAAGGAGACATGAAGAACCCTTCAAAAATCAACAAATCAGGACCCATTTTTTAAAAAATTCATAAAATTGACTTCTAGCTAGACTAATAAAGAAGAAAAGAGAGAAGAATCAAATAAACACAACCAGAAATGATAAGGGGGATGTCACCTCTGATCTCACAGAAATACAAACAACTATCAATAAACAACTCTATGCACATAAACTAGAAAATCTAGATAAAATGGATAAATTCCTGGACACAGACACCTTCCTGAACTGAAACAGGAAGCAATTGAATCCCTGAACAGGCCAATAACAAGTTCTGAAATCGAGGCAGTAATAAATCTCCTACCAACAAAATGAAGCCCAGGACCAGAGAGATTCACAGCTGAATTCTACTAGATATACAAATAAGCGCTGGTACCATTTCTACTGAAACTATTCCAAATAATTTAAAAAAAAAGGGGACTCCTCCCTAACTCATTCTATGAAGTCAGCACCATCCTGATAACAAAACATGGCAGAGATACAACAAAAAAATAAAGCTTCAGGCCAATATCCTTGATGAAGATCAGTGCAAAAATCCTCAGCAAAATACTGGCAAACCAAATGTAGCAGCACATCAAAAAGCTTATCAACCACCATCAAGTAGGCTTCATCCTCAGATGCAAGATTGGTTCAACGAACACAATCAATAAATGTGACTCATTATATAAACAGAGCTAAAGACAAAAACCACATAATTATCTCAATAGATGCAGAAAAAGCTTTTGATAAAATTCAGTATCTCTTCATGTTAAAAACTCTCAATAAACTAGGTATTGAAAGAATATACCTCAAAATAATAAGAGTCATACATGACAAACCCACAGCCAATATCATACTGAATGTTCAAAAACTGGAAGCATTCCTCTTGAAAACTGACACAAGACAAAGATGCCCTCTTTCATCACTCCTATTCAATGTAGTATTGGAAGTTCTGGCCAGGGCAATCAAGCAAGAGAAAGAAATAAGGGGCATTCATACAGGAAGAGAGGAAGTCAAATTATCTTTGTTTGCAAATGACATGATCCTGTATCTAGAAAACCCAATTGTCTTCAGCCCAAAACTTCTTAAGCAGATAAACAACTTCAAAGTCTCAAAATATAAAATCAATATGCAAATATCATTAACATTCCTTTATACTAACAACAGGCAAGCAGAAAGCCAAATCATGAATAAACTACCATTTACAATTGCTACCAAAAAGAATAAAATATCTATGAATACAGCTAACATGGTAAATGAAGGACCTTTTCAAGGATAACTATAAACCACTGCTCAAAGAAATCAGAGAGGACATAAACAAATGAAGAAACATTCCATGCTCATGAATAGGAAGAATCAATATGTTGAAAATGGCCATCCTGCTTCAAGTAATTTATATATTCAATTAATTTCCATTTAAACTACCATTAGCATACTTCACAGATCTAGAGAAAAAAACATTTTAAAATTCATATGAAACCAAAAGAGAGCCCAAAAGCCAAGAAAATCCTAAGCAAAAAGAACAAACCTGGAAGAATCATGCTACCCAACTTCAAACTATACCACAAGGGTGCAGTAACCAAAACAGCATGGCATTGGTACAAGAACATATACATAGACCAGTGAAACAGAATAGAGAATTCAGAAATAACAACACACACCTAAAACCTTGTGATCTTCAACAAACTTGACAAAAACAAGCAATGGAGAAAGGACTCCCTATTTAATAAATGGTGCTGGGAGTGCTGGCTAGCCATATGCAGAAAACTGAAACAGGACCCCTTCCTTATGCTACATACAAAAATTAACTCAAACGAATTAAAGACTTCAAAGTAACACTGAAAATATAAAAACCCTTGAAGATAATCTAGGTAATACCAGTTAGGATATAGGCATGGGCAAAGATTTCATGACAAAAACACCAAAAGCAATTGCAACAAAAGCAAAAATTGACAAATGGGATATGACTAAACTAAAGAGCTGTACAGCAAAATAAACTATCTTCTGAGTGAACAGACAACCTACAGGATGGAAGAAAACTTTTGCAGTGTATTCATCTAACAAAGGTCTAATATCCAGAGTCTACAAGAAACTTAAACAAATGTACAAGAAAAAATAACCCCATTAAAACGTGTGCAAAGGACATGAACAGACACTTCTCAAAAGAAGACACAAATGTGGCCAATAAACATATGAGAAAAAGCTCAACATCACTTATAGAGAAATACAAATCAAAACCGCAATGAGATACCATCTCACATCAGTCAGAATGGCAATTATTAAAAAAGTCAAAAAACAACAGATGCTGGTAAGGTTGCAGAGAAAAAGGAATGTTTTTACATTGTTGGCAGAAGTGTAAGTTAGTTCAGCTATTGTGGAAGACCGTGTGGCGATTCCTCAAAAACCTAGAGGCAGAAATACCATTTGACCTAGCAATCCCATTACTAGGATAAATCCAAAATATAAATAATTCTATTATAAAGATACATGGATCGTACCTTCACTGCAGCACTATTCCCAATAGCAAAGGCATAGAATCAACCTAAATGCCCATCAATGATATACTGAATAAAGAAAATGTGGTACATATACACCATAGAATACTATGCAGCCATAAAAAAGAATGAGATCATTCCTTTGCAGGGACATGGATGGAGTTGGAAGCCATTATCCTCAGCAAACTAACACAGGAAGAGAAAACTAAACACCACATGTTCTCACTTATAAGTGGGAGCTGAATGATGAGAACACATGGACACATATGCAGGAACATAACACACTGGGGCCTGCTGGGTGGGGTCAGGAGAGCTTCAGGAAGAATAGCTAATGGATGCTGGGCTTAATACCTAGGTGATGGGATGATGTGTGCAGGAAACCACCATGGCACACATTTACCTGTATAATAAAACCACATCCTGCACACGTAGCCCTGAACATAAAGTTGAAGAAAAAAGAAGAAAGAGTTGTATGTAGTTAATTTTAATACCAGACTGAATAAGTGAACTGGAGCATAAAGAAGTAAGAGAGTGCTTTCAACTTAGGAAGAGATCAGGAAAGACTAAATGAGCAGGCTGGGATCCTGGGCCTTGAGTCAACAGGATGCCTGCGATGCTGTGATACAGTGGTGATTTGGGACTTAATCTGAGAGGCTTATTGTCTAGGCTGTACCTATTCTGGCCAAAGACAATGTCAGAATGTATAGTTTCGGATGGCCCTGAATTTCTGTGATTAAATGCTACCTTTATTTTAAATGCCTCACTTATCCATATGCATTTTTCTTTGGAAAATATGAATCGGTAAAGTATAAATCTAGCAGTGTACAGAAGTCTATATTGTGGTATTAGCAAACCAAAACTAATTCATAACTCCAGCTGAATCAAAAATTCTGGGTTGTTTATATTTTTAATAGCATATTTCAACATATGTTCATGTCCATGTGCCTACATTCTACCCTCAAATCCAGAAGATTAAAGAACCAGAGAATGTTAAAATTGGAAGGGACTTTGACAATTATTCAAGATGTCCCATTGTATCATTTTTACAGATGAAGAAACAAGGCCAAAAGAGGGTAAATATGACTTCCCAAAATTACACAACCACAAAGAGCAAACTCTGGACTTAAACCAAGTTTTTGAATGCAGGTCCTGAAGCTCTTTCTTCTGGATAATACTATGCTAAAAGAAATATGAGGAAAAAAAACAAACATAAAAGAAGCAATGCTTCACAATATTGGCAATAGATCTAGAATTATTAGTGTTTCTGAAAAAAATTCTGAATAGGTTTTAAGGGATCTCTTTTTCTTAAGATCTTTTCTATTTGGACAAACTATATTGGCTCACAAAATACAAAATATTTCTCTTCTAACAATTTTAATTATTGTATTATTTAAACTTTTAAATAATCTTCTTATTAATTTTTTAATCTGTCAGATAAAGCAGACAGGAAAATGGTAAATAGCAAATTATGTACCAATGTATAATGTTTGTTTCATTGAAGCGACCATAAGAAATATTTTTTAAAATATGTACTATCTTGCTTTCCCTTGACATTGCACATTCAGAAACATTGTATTATTAAAGTACACTGTATTATAAAGTCTTGCAATAAGTACCTACAAAAAGTAAAATAATTTTTAAAATTAGAAATGGAAAAAGTAGACTATTGTGTCTGCTTACGAGTTCTTCATCATCTATCACAGTATCTGGCTTATAGGATATCCCCAATACATATTTGTTGAATAAATAAATGAATTAATACTATATTGTAATGGAATTCTGCATCAACTGTTGTATATCACACATTACATCCAATATTTATATGGCAAATTTGACATATAATACCATTATTTGGATGGATACAAACTTTTACCTACACTTGACTTAAAATCAATAAATCTTTCCTCAAAGTGGACTCCATGATTAAAGGTGTTTCTTTACACGCACCTTGTACCGTAATTAAATCCTGGCCGATAGCAAAAACCTGTTCAGAATAGAATATTTCTTTTCCCTCTTTCTTTACCCCAACTCATGGGAGGGTTCTAAAGGGGAAACTGATGTCTTACTCCAGACCCTACTTCCAAGACCGAATAAGGACTTCTTTACCAGCCAAGGATCTCAAGTTCAAAATGCCAAATGCCTTCCCAACAATGCTCTGCAGACATCAAACGGGTTAACTGGCAGACACCCCAGGAATTCTGGAAGCAACTTCTAACCCAGAGGGATATTTGCAGGGACCTAAAACATGGAAGTACACAACAGGAAGAGAAAAGAGACAGAAACTTACAAAGTGTTTCAAGATAAATATTAAGCCCTTACTGAAGAAGTTAAAGATACATACCCAATATGAAAGGCATTTTTAAATCATGAATATTTTATTTAACTGTTATGCATAAGTATTTAATATAGCTCTTATTGTCCTCATCCATTTTATAGAAATGAGAAAAATGCTGTGTTTTGAAAACCGCTGCCACTGAGGCTTATCAGTTGATTAAAAAGTAATAAACAAAACAACTACTTCTAATCTTCCTTGGTATGTTTGTATAACAAAAGTGATGTTGTAATAATCTCTAACTCCTCTATTTTAATGTCTGCATATTTATGCATCTAACTAGAAATAAAATATTACAAGCTTGGCCATTTTTTTCCAGTTATTTGTACATAAAGTACACTTAAAGTATAAAATGGTATGTCTCTTAGTTCCTCAAATGAATAACCATAAAACAAATATTGTGAAAAATGAAAACCAAAACACAGAAGCAAAAGTTAAGAAGCTTAAAAAGTTAAAAGTTAAGAAGTTTGTTCTTCCTAAATCTGTTTCTATCCCTGAGTTACTGTGACGCACCATCTGTCTGCACCTCCTTTGTCTCCTTCTGAGAAGCAAACACCTGAGTTGCAGCCATGCAATGGAGAGAAAAAATGGCCAACGGTGATTTGCAAATTTTGCTAGCCTGTTTGGAAGGTTAACTGTGGCTCTTCAAGACCATTTGATGCTCTGTGTCCCAAGTCCACCTCAGAAAGTGACAGTAGCCCCAGGAAGGATGCAGAAAATGAGGCAAAGGATTTGGCCACACCCCAGGAAAGAAGATTGCATAGACTCCCGGGGGTGAGAAACTCTGATATATAAATTTTGTACTTTTCTAACAAAATTGAATCAGGAACTAAAAGTAATCTGGAAAATTTTAGTCCAAATGAAGAGCTGAAGTCATTCAATCAGGGACTGGAGCAATAACAACTTGCTCACTTTATAAATGTAAGCATGTTTCCTGCTGTGAATATTCTGAGACACCCCATGCCTTCCTTTCTGATAGCCAGAAGGAAAAATATCTGCAACAAAATGATCTAAAAAAATAAGAAAAAGGAAAAGGAAAGCAAAGTATTCAATAATAGCTTTGTATGGGGATCTATATATTAGCATGTAGCAAAATGATCAATTAAATAAATTGATCATTTTGTTTGGGGACTTGGTTCTGGATGCAGTTTACACTTTTACAGCACTCTGGAGGATGAATTGAACCCTGCTGAACCTTCCAGCAGATCAGGGAGGTGTATTTCCTCAATGAGTTGCTCCAAGCTTGGCTTGCTTGTTCTTGCATCCACTGTTTGCATGAAGAAATCACAGCTAGACAATTTTCCTCACCTATAATAAATAAATATTTCCATTGAGTTACTGACCTCTTTTACTTGAAATTGTAAATATACCTTATTTTATTTAAAAAAATTCTTTACCACCCTAATTTTAATCATTTTTCTAAACATTTTCCATGTGTATCTCCCTTTCTAGTCTTATTTTTCAAATGTTCCCTTTTCTTATTTTAGCATTTTATTTCTTTGGCCATTTTCTAAACAGTTAAAATAAAAAATATTTTTTCATATGACTGTTGGGGAAAACAAGGGACTGAGAATGTGAAGGACCATTTGGCTCTCAGCTTCTTTCTCAAGCTAAACTTTTTATATTACCTCCCAAGGAGGCTCTACATATGGTCCCAGAGATATGCTAACAATATTTTAAGAATACATTTATCTCGCAACTTTAAATTTGTTTCACACTTTCTGATCACACCTCCCCTGGTGTACTATGAACAAATATTCTATGTAAATCCTATAATTTCCCACAAATAAAATTAAAATGCATTGTAACTTTTGTGTCAAAGGGGCTAATTTGTTCAACGTAAGTGTATAAGACTATCATACATTGTATAATCCTGCTTGTACATTTCATCATTTATAACTATACTGAGAGCCTCAGGAAGCTTCTCTGACCTTTGAGGAAAGCTGGCCTCATATTACAATAAATGTGCAACTCCTAAACAGGTCTCATGCCACAGAAGTCTGTATCTTCCCTTTTATGCTTTAGCAGTTCTAAACCGTGTAACATTTTCTCAACATGACAATGCTCTCATGCTCCTGCACATGCTCCTTCTGCCTCAATACCCTTCTCTGCCTTGTCCTATTCCTCCCTCAAGTGTGAGTCAGAACAACTCCACCTTCTCTGTGTCACTTTGTCTGATCAATCTCCATATTCATTCATCTGCAATGTGCCAAGCACTATGCTAGCTGTTGAGTTGGATAAAATGAAAACCCTGTACTTGCCCTCAAGATACATGATGCAGTGGTCAAAACAAGGAACACTGGGAACCTTTTGTGATGAAGGTCAGGAAGAGGTTTGGGGAAGTCTTCCAGAAGGAGATAATTGCTGAATCCAAATGTGAAAGATAAGCAGGAATTGTCCAGAAGAAGCAAGGACAGGGAGAGGCCATTCAAGACAAAGCCTGTGATGAAGAGTGGGACAGGAAATATTCATTGAGAGGCAAATATTCCATTGAAGAAAATTTAGATTTTATTTTTTTCCTGAAGGCAACAGAGAGCCTCTTAAGTAAAAGAATGAGATGGTCAAGTGTAGAGATCAGATTGGAGAGAACAAGGACGGGGCAGTTGGCAGGCTTATTTGTAAAGGGGATGATATATATGTATTTAATATGAGAAGAAGATGGAATAAAGTTTGAGAATTTGAGAGAGATAAATGAGTTATAATTGACAGGTCTTAGTGATTGATTGGTATACAAGGGCAAAAGGGAGTCAAGTGGGAACCACTAAGTTTCTCTCTCTTCTTGCTGTGGTGGAAGAGGACATCATTGAGATCAGGAACACAGAAGGAGGAGCAAGAAGTAATCATTTGACTTTGAACCTGCTGAATGAATAAGGAAGAGGCCTGTAGAATGTGCAAGTTGAGAGGTAAGTGCTCTCTCATCTATGCACCCAATACTCCATCATATTATCCCATGTACCATGCTGAGATTATCTATCTCCACCTCTAACTTTTTCCAGGAAGGGCTCTCCAAGATAAAAAACTTCCCCTTCAGACTGTCCTCAACCAGCCAATATTCCCCCATGACAAACAAGGCTCTCCCACTTTTCCTCTTTCTCTCAGAGGTCACCATTAGAGGAGTGCTAACTCACTGAGAAGTACCCTGCAAGGACTAGAGTCCATCACCACTTCTAGAGAAAGCAAAACATGGACCAAAGAAGAAAAGGCTATTTTCCTTCTATTCTAATAGCCCCATCCCCACATTTGCAAAGGCACCATGGTTTCAGAACTGAGTATTTTTTTTAAATAAATAAAGAAGCTAATACAATCTGAAGATTCCAACTTATTAACAGAAAACATGTAGACCTAAGAATTAAAAATAAATATGTCTTTAAAGATGACCTGGAAGGCTTTCTGTCTGCCAAGAACAGAGTTCAAGACCTCAGAAGGTCTGTTTTCCCAGAAATAGTAGATTACATTGCTATTGATGGGCAAAGGCATTAAATCATTCCGATTCCCCTGCAATTTTATTACTATTTAGGTGAGTTTCATAATGGCCTGAAATAATGGAAGAAATCTTGAGACTGGTCTTGGGTTGTAGATATTGGATCTATGATTTCATCTTTTGGACAAATGTTTCCAGTTCCTGCTTTTCTTTCCAGACGTGTATACTTGAGATGAGTTGTTCTCATGTTTGAATTATATTTTCATGATCTTGGTGGTGTCGGTGTACACAAATATTAATTCATTTTTAAAGCATTTTCCATCATACATATTTTATGTCAATGGAGTATTTCTAGCGATGAGTATAGTTCTTCCTTTGATGTTCTTATTTATTTGAAATTAGAGGAAGATTTCTGAAACCTGTTAAACATCAACAGGGCAATCACCAGCTGGAGAACATCTCCAAATGGACCAGAGTGACTTGCAGACCTAGAGGCAGCTCAACTTGCTGAGGAGAAATTGATGTTGTCCTCAGTATTCATTGACTTGTCTGGTTTTCATATGACAAACAGATGAGTCAGTTCTTCCTTTTTCTAAGAGACTCTACATGCTTAAGGTCAGAAATTAACCAAAGAAAAACTGGTTTTATAAGTATGAGCTGACTAGATGCCACGGTGATTCATTTCAAAGGTGCTGGCTATTTTCAAACTGCTGAGAGACTCTGTCATTCCCTGAACTTGGGAGGCTTGTTCTAGCACATGCACATATTCAGCTTGCCATATGAGCAAAAGTGAGATCATGCGGGTTGATCCTGGCAGAGTCTCTGAAAATGCAGTAATTCATGCTGTCAGTTACTATCAGCAGCAATTTGCTTCTGGATTGGTTCCTGTAAGCACTCATGTGAGCATTCTGCACAAAGGACCAGAGTACAATATTCTCTTGGATTTCAGGGACTTAGTGTGGTTTCAGCATATAATCAAAAGTGCCATGCCACATAGTTCACCACCTCACATTTTGTTTTAAAGAGACAGAGGCTTAAAACTGTATTCCTTTTTATTTTCCCCCAAATAGGAAGTTGGTGGTAATCTGGAATTTATCTTTAGAGCAATCTGTTAGCACTTCAGCAAAATCTACTCTGTTGGTAAAGTGCAGAGTAGATTTTTTAGCGAGGCATAATTTCACCATGTCTAAAACTAATAATAATCGTAATAATAAATTTGCTCAACCACAAAACTAAACTTCTTAGATTCAACTCACATGTGTGACCAACTCTTAATTACTTTAGGGCAAATGCATTAAGAAATGAAAAGTTCTTTGAATTCTTAAGAATTATAATAGGTATACCCCCGGTTTGGTACAGTTTCCAAAAAGTTCTATGATAGAGAAATTTAGATGTTGCAGTCCTAAGCTTAAAGGCACATTATTAAAGAATCTCTGCAAAACAATGTACTTCCATTGAGCTCCAAATTATTTAATAAAGCAATCATACTCTCGCTACCAATTTACTGCTCTACCAGTTTAATTAACTAACACCATTGAAAACTCATGCAATACAGGTTATGAAAATGCCCTTATCAGAAGGGGCTCAGGAAGAAAGAAAAGCCAGTCCCTGTGACTGATAATCTTTTAGTTTAGTTTCACTCAGAAAAGTGAAAGTATGCCAAAATCTCAAGTGGCATTGTCAAAAATATACACATTCTTTGGTGTTAACTTGTGACTTGAGTGTTACCAGTTGAAAAATTGCTTCCATATTGCAACAAGCTCAAAAATCCTCAAAAACTTGGCATCTTACTAAGAATGTGTTTGCTATCTGCCTTGCCCCTTAGAGTGCAGACAGAATGAGTGTGGGGACTTCTGTCTGTTAACTGATGTATTCCCAGTGCCCAAAACAGTGCATAGCATATAAGGCACTTCACAAAATTGTGCTGAATTAATGAATAAAATTGTCCTTTTTCTCAGCCTAAAGTCTTTAATCAGGTTTATCTGTAATCAGCTCCTGCTCTTTTATCTAGACTGCCCTGTCTTGCATTACTTTTCCTCTTACGCTATACAATGCAAATTATTGGCCGTTCCCCAAATGTACCCATGTTCTCCCTCTCTGGAGGCTTTTGTACATGTTCCTCTGTGTAGAAGACTTTTCTGCCTTGTCCTCTTCTTCCCTGGGCCTGGGAAAATACTCTTTGTCCTTTAGATCATAGTTTAGAAATCTCTTATTTCAGAAAGCCTTGCCTAGCCTCCAAAATAGAGCTAGACAGGCCCTTAGCTCCCTGTAATTTCCGCTATGGTAGCACTTACCCACTTGGACTACTATTGTCACAAGGAAATAACATTACTAGAGGCAAAATGATGTTTGCAAAATTATACATCAGCATTTGCACTTCAAACAGGACCTCATAAAGGAATTAACTCTGTACTCTTAGCACTGGAATAAGAATATTTATGAAAAAATAACCAGGATGTATTAGAAAAGAATCACAAAAGTGTGAGCAAACTAACACATGTCTAAATATACTTCTCGATCTCATTGAATGGAAGCATTGCTCTAGTCTAACCATTAAAACAAAAACAAGCATAGCATCCATGTGAAATGCTAACACAGATTGTTCCGTAGAGAGTTGCTTCATGTCATTCAGGTCACAGCAACGTCACCCTTTTAGAAAGGATATCACTGACCAATGCCATGTAAAGTTACCCCAATTAATTTCTAGTTTATTGTACTGTTTACCTATCTATTACATGTCTATCTATTTGAGATGGTCTCAATCATTTATGTTAACTAGTTTATGTTCAATTCTCCATATTAAATAATAGTTTCCATGACAGCAGGGATCTTGTTTGTCTTGTTCAGTTTTTTATATCTCTAGAGCCTAAATGAGTCCCTGGCATTC